CTTCCATTTTTGTGGATGCTAGTAAAGAGGGTGAAATTGCAGTGTATTATGTCACTTCCCAACATAAAAATTTGATCACTTTAAATGATATGACTAAATCTGTCCAAAGGGCCGAGCTTTATGCCACTCAGGTAGCCCTAAGAACTTACCCAGAATCTATAAAGGTCTATTCTGACAGTCAATACCTTGTCAAAGCCGTGTTGCAGCTTCCCACTGCCTTTATACTGACGGCAGATGAGGAACTTTATCATCTATTTCGTGCTATACAAAAACTTCTTAATTTACGGCACAGTCCAATTTATATTTCCCACATTCGAGCTCACACCGATCTGCCCGGTCCCCTAGTTGCTGGGAATCGGATAGCCGATGCAGCAACCCATTTATTGCAAGTTCTGCCCATCACCACTCCTTTGGAAATAGCCAAAAGGAGTCGTGATAATTTTCATCAGAATGCAGCAGCCCTTCGACGAGAATTCAAAATATCTCGTGAAGCGGCCAAATTGTTAGACGATGCGGCATCTGTCTGCAATTCTTCCCACAACCGGTCTATGCCATAAATCCCCGAGGTCTTCGGCCCAATGACTTGCGGCAAATGGACGTCACCCAATATTTACCTTTTGGGAAATTGCAATATATACATGTGTCTGTAGATACTTGCTCAGGCTATATACATGCTTCAGCCCACTCAGGAGAAGCATTTGTTGATGTTCAAAATCACCTATTTTCTGCCTTTGCAGCAATGGGCAAACCTCGTAAAATAAAAACTGACAATGGTAATGCTTATACTTCTAAATCTTTTACAGAATTTTGCCACCGACTCCGAATTGAGCATACAACTGGCATTGCTTATAATTCCACAGGACAGGCTATTGTTGAGCGAGCTCATCTGACTCTAAAACGATATCTGCAAAAACTTAAAGAGGGGGAGATATTAAAGGGAAAGATAAAGTATTCCCCACATGTACATCTCACTCTCGTGTTGTACGTTTTAGATTTTTTTAATGTCAATGAAGCAGGGAGGACTGCTGCAGAGCGTCGCTGGGGAAGGAGTCAAGAACCTCTCTTGATGGCAAGATGGAAAGATACGCCGGAAGGCATTTGGCGAGGCCCAGACCCAGTCCTTCGAAAAGGGCGAGGGTATGCTTGTGTTTTTCCACGGGATGAGGAAGTGCCACGCTGGGTCCCGCTTCGGCTCCCCAGAGACATTACGGTTGCGCCGAAAAATGGCCAAATTGACAGCGACGGAGCCCCCCCAGAAGCGACAACGGCGGAGTCATAAGGCGGGTACACCCACCTGGGGACAGATAAAGAACCTGCTGACCCAGGCCACTGATGTAGTGATGGCCTCGGGTAGAGAGGTAGCGGCCACACATGTCTTCTCGGCATGCCTGTGCCTTCTCACTACAGCCGGGGAGTCTGCCCTCTGTTGGGCATACGTGGTAGGTCCTCCTACAGCACAACCTGTACCATGGAGAGACCCCACACCCAAAGGATACGCCAGTCTCACCTTTATGGGAGGGGAAGAGGCAGGGTTTTTGCCCACTGTGTCGGCCTCTATAAATTGGACGGCACTCTCTGCAGGCACACCCATCTGCCTGCAAAGGGAGTCTACGCCGTACAAACTTGCTCATGGGTGTTTGGGTACGAAACCAGTAGGGCGGTCTATTACTTATACTATGTGGCCAAATGACAAGCGTCCTTCTGAACGGGTACCCCGCTCCGTTGCCGCTTATTGGCAAAAGAGACAATTATTAGGAGAATGGATGTTTTTTGGGCCGCGTGATCCCCCTCGGAATCTTCCTATATGTCCCTCAGCTGGTCAAGGCCTTACTGGGGACTCACCTTGGGGTAAATGTGCCCAATCCTCTTCATTGAGGATGACTCCTAAAGACATAAACTATACCATTACAGATTATTCCCGAAAGGCCCGGCTAGCTCAGTCGGTAGAGCATGGGACTCTTGATCCCAGGGTCGTGGGTCCACCTCCTAGCGAGGTACAGGTACACCACAAGATTATCCCACAAACCATTTTGCAATCCCCTGAAGGAAGAATTCATTCTGATCTTTGGAAGTTATATGCTACCTTTGATAAAATATATACTAATGACAGCTTTAGGTTTCCAGAATAGTATGTTTCTCCAGTTCTGCAATTGCGTGCCTGTGTTCCTCCACCCTACTATCTGATTGTTGGAGACGGGACCATTACTCCGGTGAAAGAAGATGGTCGTCAGTTATACCGTCTGACGTGCCCTGCTTGTGTCTTGACCAATTGTCTACCAATAGATGGGCCCTCTAGAAGTGGAATGAAGGTTTATCTGGTCTTACCACCTCCCTATCGGATGTTGCCAGTGGAAGTTACAGGACCTTGGTATCCTAATTATGGGACGCAATCGGCCTTAGAAATCAGTAAACGGCTGCGCAGGACCAGACGGTTTCTTGGACTCTCGATTGCTGGACTCATAGCGACAGTGACTGTAATTGCCTCTGCAACTGTATCTGTAATATCCTTACATGAAAGTGCCCAAACGGCATCCCATGTAAATGAGTTCGCTCATAACGTATCCAAGGTGTTTGCCACTCAAGAACGAATAGACCGTAAATTGGAAGCCCAGTTAGAGGCACTACAAGAAGCATTAATGTATCTTGGTGATCAGTTTGCTGTTTTGCGTACCAGACTTTCTTTAATTTGTCATGATGCCTATGAGCACATCTGTGTTACCCCTTTAGAGTATACCAATGTGACATGGGGACAAGTGCGTCGTCGTTTACAAGGGGTTTGGCATGATGCGAACACTAGCTTAGACCTCTTACAGCTACAAGAAGAGATAAATGCTGTTGCAAGTAGCTCACTCAGTTTCCCTGACCCTGGAGATCTCGCTGAAACCATACTGCACCAACTTACTGGGTTTAATCCATTTAATGTTCTTCGGCATTCCTTTTGGATCTTTATTGGAATTGTTTCCGTAATATCTGTTATACTTGTCTTGCTGTGTTGTTTCTGGAGATGAGGTCTTACTGCCTTTACCACATACCAGGCCAGGATGCACATGTTGCAATTACAAACAATAGGGGGACGTGTGGGAGGCCGGGCCCCGGCGCCAGGCTCAGACCGGGTGGAGCAACGGTTCCCTGTCGACTCAGCCAACCCGGTGGTTCCCGGTCCCATTCCCCCACTTTCAAGGGCACACGAAAGCCTTGTCAAGGCTGAGAAGTTAATTCCTGAAGCCCGTGGTCTGCAGGTGTTGGCAGTAATGCTACCTCCCTATTTCTACCCCGGGTCAGATAGAAACAAACATGGGAACTGTGTTTTGCCAGCAATCTTATCAACAAGGTCTTGTTGTGACCCGTCTAGAAAATGCACAAGAAACACAGAACTAAATGTTTTGGTTGGCAGCGATCATGCGAAACCTGTTTATTCTTAGAATGGCCTGACCCATAAGAGTCTGGATATAAAAGATCGCGTACAGCAACAATAAAGCCGTCACTTGGGCCATCAGCCCAGGGGACCCTCCTGTTCCCAAACTTCCTTCTCTCTCTTTTTTCTTGCATTCCCCTACCCTCAGGACTTTGACCTCGGTGTTTGTTGCGCCGGTCGCGACAGGTGTGGTCTGATGCACGGGCCTCTGGTGGCCGATGACCTGAGCAGCTTTTCAGTGCTTGCTGCCCGTTTGTACATTTTCCTTAGAGAAATGTCTAATGGAGCCTTTGCCATCGCCCGAGTCGTAAGAAAGAAACCACGAGAGGTGTTGCCGGCTGGAGGCGGAGGCCGTGGGCTGCCACATGGCCCCTGGCTTGCTCCACTCTGGGCGGGCAGAGGGGCCCCACGGGGTGTGTGCCGCCTGGGGCGTTTCCGGGAGCATCGGCCAGCCTCCCTAGGCCACAGTTTCACTTTTGGGTCTGTGCACTTGCTCAGAAGCTTCCCGGCACAGCCCTGGTCTGCAGGGAGGCCTTGCTTCACGTCGTGGGCCCGGAGCCTGGGGTGACTGTCACGGTGAGCTGTGCCCCACACCCAGTGCCGTTCCTTGCTGGCTGGGCGGGGGCGTGGGGGTGGCTCACACCAGGGGCGGAGGACGTCGGCCCTTTCGGGGGGCCACCTGGTCCCAGCACCCTCCAGGACTCCCCATGATCCCAGACCAGTTTGGGGAAGCCCGAGGCGTCTGGGAAGGCAGCGCCCTCACCAGCCCATCTGGGTCTCCGGTCACCCTTTGGTCCGCTCCCGATTCAGACGGGCACTGAGGCTCAGAGGTTCCTACCGAAGGGAGCTCCGCTGCCTGGGACCCAGGCTCCTGGGTGCCGGGTCAGGCCTGCTTTGGCCTCTGACCCCTGAAGCCTCAGCCTTAGACTCTGGGCACAGAAGAAGCCCTAGAGAGTTCACCTGGAAGCTGGGGACGCTCTGACTGGGCCTCGCTGTGGCCCCTGTGCCAAGTGCCCAGGAACTTGGTGCCTCCTGTTTCTTCCTCTGCCCCCTGAACACCTCAGCCAGGGAGACAGCTGCTGCAGCAGAGAGAGCACCGGCCTGGGGTTCACCCTGAGGCCCCTGCCCTGCCCTCCCTCGGTGGCTGCTTTTCAAGAGTGGCTCTAAGCGCTGTTGGGCTGGCAACACGACGGAGGCCTCTGTGGGTAGCCAAGGGCGGCCCTGCCCCACCCTTCCCCAAGCACTGAGAGTCCCTGGGCTTTCGTGGGCATCCTGCGGGCACTCTGGCCGTGGTACAGATGGTGTGAATGGCCTGAGTCCCACTGAGGGCTGCGAATGCCGTCCCAGCCTAGGGGCACTCACCCACCCCATGGAGAGACGGTTCGAGTGGATGCCAGGGTAGACAGTGCTGAGTAATGATCAGCGGCGGGAGCTTTCTGCCTGTTGGAGCATCCCAGGACTGGCCCGTGGAGGAAAAGAGCTCCCTGTCGTAGGAGGCATCCAAGTACCCACTTGGCCCCGGGCCCCCTCCCATTCTTCCAGCCCTGATCGCAGAACGCCTGAGCCATCTGTACCCCTCGGGAGCATGACGTCCACCTTCGAAAGGGTGGTCAAGAGCGTGGTCCGGGAGCTGGACCCCAAAGGAGACCTCATCCCCGTGGACAGCCTGCGGAGCTCCATCAGCTTCCGGCCCTACTGCCTGCTGGGCAGGAAGCTCTCCAGCTCATGGTTCTGGAAACCCCGCTACAAGTGTCTCAACCTGTCCATCAGGGACATTCTGGAGCCTGATGCCCCGGAACCAGGTACCCTGCTGGGCACTGAGTCGGGGCCTCGGGTGGGAGGGGAGCGAACAGGCTGGCCTGCTGCCTGCTCTGGGCGTCTGGGCTGTGTGCTTTCAAAAGACAAAGCACCACCTCTGCCCGGGGCGGGGCAGCTGGCAGGATGGAGCCCCAGCTCTGGTCTGACTCTAGCTGTGGAACGCGTCGCCTCTTTCCACATCGAAGACCTCGTGGACGGGATGGTGGAGGGCAACGTGGAGGTGAAAGCGCTGGGACAGGGCAAGTTTGTGAGCGGGGCAGCGGTGTCGGCCACAGCCAGCACCTCCGTGAACGTGTGCATGCTGAAAGTGCCCCTCAACACGTGGGGGGCCATGAAAAAAGAAAGGTGAGCCGGTGGCGGG